CTGTCTCTATAAATTTTACTTATGCAGAATATATTAACCCCTTCCCCAACAATTTTTTTGTTAAAAACGTTTCTTTTTCAGACTAATTTTTTTATTTTGGTTCTATATAGTATTTTTGATGCTGGTTATGAAAACAGTTTGTAATTCGTCTTCCTATAAACCATATTTTTTTACCATATTTTCTTAGTATACTCGTCGACGACTGAAAAAGAACATTTTGTGAAAACGAGTATACACGTTTCTGCCGGGGAAGGGGTTAATATGATATTACTTCTCATCCTGTTTTTTTTGGCTTTATTAATTTTATTTAACACTTAAATAGCACTTTAAAGTTCTGTTCTCAAGTTTTAAAAATATAATTCATTTAATCCTCAAAATAACTTCAAAAGTAGTAATATTATTATCACTGTACAGATGAAAAAACTGAGACTGCCCAAGTCATACAGTCAGTAAGCAGCAGCAATAGAATTCCAACCAAGGCAAGCTACACTGCCTCTTGGATATTCAGAAAATGGGCACACAGCAGGCAGAAATGGAGTGGGCAAGACAGAGTTTATATACTCAACTTATAAATTTTCAGGCCAGTACCTCTGAATAGTAATATCCTGTATTGTTTTCATTACATGTTTGTTTTAAAAAAAATTTATCACTAAGATATTGATTTTGAAGAATAGGAAATGGTGCTAATAGATTAGCAGAATTAAGCAAAGCCCTTACCTGTTGATGCTTTCACTTTAGGGAGAACCAGAAAGTGCCATATTTTAATATGTAGCTGTATGACAAAGCTTTAAAATAATTTTGATTCCTTGTCTGAAACAATAATTTATACCTGGTTATCCCAGATATAAATTTAGATGTGAGACTCTGAATTAAAATGCATGTAAGTAAATATTAACTAACCAAATATAATTAAGCAGCAAATACCAGTCAACTTATTAAAACCTCTGGGAAGAAAATCAAGCACTGTGTATAAAAATTTGAGCTGTCACTATTTTAAAAATAACCTATAAG